CTAACCAGACTTGACCCATTGAATAACAAGGATTGACATAAGTGGAGACTCGCCAAGTTTCCATGGGTTCACTGGATATACTTGAGTTAGGATTAGCAAATGGATTTAGATTTCTGTTGGTCCTCAGATTTTCCTGGATCAACCTGTTTAAAATCTGTAATGCTAACAATAATAACAACAGTAACAATAACAATAATTTTAGAACTGGAGTAGACATGAGGGTAAATATGAGGATATTTGTGAAATAGCACTGATTTGTGGGATATTCATATTTGTCAGGTCCAGAGACCCTGATGAATACAAAGCAATATTTGTATTGCTTTGTATTTATCCATTTATTCATTTTTATTTGTCCCTTCTTGCAGTCTGGCTGCAGATTGGAAACAGGGTTTGCTTTCCTGCAGCCAGCTTGCTTGTCAATGTCTGACTGATCAGCTGATAATCGGGTCATTGACAAGCAGGCTGGCTGTGGGAAGGCAAACCCTGGTTTCAATTCTGCAGCCAGCCTGCTTGTCAATGTCTCAATGATCAGCTGATGGTCAGGTCAATGACAAGCAAGCTGGCTGCCTGAAGACAAACCCAGGGTTCAGTTATTGCAGCCAACCTGCTTGTCAATGACCCAATTTTCAACCAACTCATTGTGGGTCTTTGACAAGCAGTCTGGGCATAGGAAGGAAGCACTCCTCCAGCAGCCAGCCTGCTTGTCAATATCCTGACCATCAGCTGATAGTCAAGTCATTGACAAGCATGCAGGAACTGAAACCCAGGTTTCCCTTCCTGCAGCCAGCCTTCTTCTCAATGTCTCACCCATCAGCTGATCAATGGGACATTGACAAGCAGGCTGGCTGCAGAAACAGAAAATAGTTCCATTCTGCAGTCAGCCTGCTTGTCAATGTCCTGCTCATGTATTCAGTGGGACATTGCGTTTTAAGCACTAATTGACAAATATTTGTCAATTTGTTGCTAAAATTTGATGCTTCGTGACTTCGTCCATTCATCAACTTTGACTAATGATGAATCCCGATGAAGCACCATTTTAAAAATTTGTCCCCAAGTCTAAACTGGATGGCTGGGAGGTACTCCATGGATCATCGAATCCAGCTCCTGTCAAGGAGGCACAGTGAAGAATTGAACTCCCAGCCCCTGACTCTTCATCCAGAGACCTAAACTATCCAGCAATAAGCTATCCAGTAATAAGGACATAGAATTTTTTATGTGACTTAACAAGTCTTGTTCATTCAGTGAGACTACTATTTTTGGGATTAACAATTGCATTTAGCCCATTATAATTAGGGAAAATTCTATATATTTTAAGGGTTAAAAAAACCACAACAATCTTATCCTTTCCTCTTCATTTTTCCAGTTCATCTTTGCACCCAGCATGCACCTAGTAATTTAGGAAGAGGGTCACGATCTGTATGTCTAAGCAAAGTAATAACTTTTCTGCCTCTTCCGATTATATGCCGCGCTGTCATTTCAGGTCTAGAGTTGGTTATTTTGCTTTGTTTTCCCACAATACAAGAGAGGAGGTGTATTGTGATTAACCTAACGGGCCACTGGCTATTGTCCTCTGGAAGAGAAAGGCAGAGCTGTGTAGCAAGGAAAGAATAATTAAATGGAATAATAAAGAATTCCACTGGAAATATTGTCTGTACTTGTACTTTGCCCCAAAACATTATGACAATAGGGGGTGGGGGTGCAAGAATACATTTCTATTTTGTCTGCTTTTGCTTTTGAGATCAGAAAAAAAAGCTTCAAAAACTGGCTGACACAAGACTGCTAAAATAGCATAAGCAGTCTGAAAAAAAATAGGTCTAGCCATGGTATGGAGCAAAATAGTGGATAACAAGCAAAATTCCAGTAAAAATGTAGAACACAATTTAAAAAAAAAGATATTGCAGAACAGGATGGCCCGGAGGAAATTCCTATAGTCAGGGTAAGGAGAGGAGCTTGAAATTTTTTGCAATTAAGTGGCCAGCAAAGAGAAAGCTAGAGATTATATTTTCACGGGGCAAGGAAGATAGTTGAACAATTCCTTGTCCTTAGGAGATGCATGAAGATTCAGTGCTTCTAGAATAGGCCCTGTTTCTGGAATAGTTGCTTTGTTTTTAGTATCTGTCTAAATTCCTCTAGCTGCTCAGCGGAAGTGCAGGGATTCACAGAGCAGAATTAGCTTCAAGTTTCCCCAAGTAGATCACCCCTTTTTCCCATTAACTGGCACTAAATAGTCTCAGTAATTCACTTTGAGACATTTGAAGGTGGAAGAATATAAAGTTTCATTTACTTACAGTTGAACAGATCTACAGCAAACTGAGCAAAGAGGGTTGATGGACTTTAAGCAATGGGCCTCAACAGACCGACTGCTTTCAAAAGACTACTTTGAGGAAAAGTGCTCTTAGCAGAGGAACATAGCTCTCTGAATTCAGAGGCAGGAGGGAATGATCGGTTACTGGTTATAGATTGACAGTCACCAAAGTCCAGGAAGATCCCCCCCCAGCCACACCTACTAAAGGCAGCATCTGAGGTTGTAAGAACTGCATGAGGAATCTCCCCAGAAAATGTGCTTTTCTAGCTATCTTGCCTTACAGCAGTGGTTCAAACTTGGGCAATCCAGGTGTTCTCGGACTACAGCTCCCAGAAATCCAGGCCAACACAGTTGGCAGTGAAGGCTTCTGGGAATTGCAGTCCAACTGCCCCCCCAGGTTACTCAAGGCTCGGAACCACTGCCTTTAAGGTCTCTCATAATCAGGAACCCTAATCTGTAGTTTCCATAGTTCACACGTAAATCAGGCAGTGATCGGTATGTGGTCTTCTCAGGTCATTGTGATTTGTTGGTTCTCTCCACACCGGGCCTAACTATGCATTTAAATAGGAAAAGGAATTCGAAGAAGCAATTCTTTTCAGCCCTTCTTTTAAATGATAAGAGTCTATAAAAAGCCCATGCTGTACAACACATTATCTTTAATATTCAGCATGTTAAGAGAGATGGCTTCCCTATGCTTCATAACATTATCCTTCAGAGCGGGATGTAGAGTTTCTGAATTTTGCCGAATTACATTGTCGGTGAAGGATGTCTTGAGCGGCAGAGACGTAGATCCTGATAAATGAAGCAAGGCAGTCATTAGCAGAATGTTTCTTTCCCCCATTGTGAGAGAAATATGAAATAAGAGCATTTAACGAATGTGAAATTATTCAGCAGTGGAAGGGGGAAGGTTTAATTGAGCCTTGTGCCACTCAGCTAGAAATGGCTGCTCCACACATCGCTTCTCCCTTGTTAAAATTATTTAATCTGATACAAAAATAATTCCAAACTTCCTGTAGGCTTTACAGTCTAGTTTTCCATTAAGAGAGACAATAGCTTCACCAAATTACAGTCTCCATAGAAATCACCACAATCAACCCCCAAACTAACCCCAATATATTTGTTCCACTGCTTTTGAATCCTAAACTTAAAAGTGTGGCTGAAATTCTGGAGTGAATTTATTGAAGTTTTTGCAACCTCGCATGCTGCATTTAGTAGGTGTGGCTAAGAGGGACCTTTCTGGGCTGGGGTGACTGTCAATCTATCCAGCAGTAACCAATAGTTCCTTTTCCTGCCTCTCAATACAGAAAGAGCCCCACCTCTCTCCTATTGAGCTCTTTCCATCTCTGTAGTCTGTTGGAATCTGTGAGTCTTCTAAGGCCTCTTGCTGCAAATCAATCAGCCATATTTTTCAGTTTGAGGTTGATCTGTTCTATCATAAGCCAGTGGTTCTTAATCTTGGGTTACTCAGGTGTTTTTGGACTGCAGCTCCCAGAAGCCTTCACCACCAGCTGTGCTGGCTGGGGTTTCTGGGAGTTGCAGTTCAAAAACACCTGAGTAACCCACGGTTAAGAACCACTGTCATAAGCAATGAAACTTTTTATTATTTCACTAATATCTCAGAGAGAGTTATTGAGACTGTTAGTGCCAGTAGATAAGAAAAAAAGAGGGGGTGAACTAAATTGGGGAGCTTGAAGCTATTCTGCTCAGTGAACCCCTGCGCTTCTGCCACACAGCTACAGGAATTTAACCAAAATTACAAAAATCTGCACCAGAATTGTCTTGATCTGTATGAAATTCAGAAGGAAGAGGCATGTCCAGATTTGATTCTGGAACAACCAGATTTACAGTATGGACCCCCATACTGTAATACACATACAGTATTCTGTAATATACATAAACTAGGGCCCCATATATGTGGGATCAGTATCCATGATTTCACCTATCTGTGGTTTGAAAATATTAAAAATATTAAAATTAAAAAATCTCATTTCTACAATGTATTTACCAGTACTGGCCACTAGAGGGAGCCAGAAACCACATTATGTATTCTTGCTGTTGGAATACATAGCATGGTTTCTGGCTTCCTTTAGTGGCCAGTTCTAGCAATACATCATGAAAATACATTTTTTTCTGGAATTTTTTAAAAACTTTTACCATGCTATGTATAGCGTTTGCTGTTATCCACGGTTTTAAGTATCTGTGGGGGAGTTTGGAACTGATTCCCCATGGTTATAGGAACCCTAGTGTAATTAAGAAAGTAAATAGAAGGAAAGGGATGAGGGTTTATTTCTATCCAGACGGCTACCTTCAGTGGAGAAAGTAAAAGAAAAGCACACACATTTTGGAAGAAGTCACTGAGGATGCTTTAGGATGTCATGCTCTTAAGATCTTTTGAGGCTCTCCTAACTAAATTTTCAAATGGCCATTAATGCTCACTGGCACCTTGTTCTTGATTATCCTTGACATTAAATTAACACTTCTACATCTCATATATTTATTTCTATTTGATGATTTTTGATGTATGCCTAAGCAAATTAACAGAGTCAGAAGTTCTTTACATGATCTGTAACACTGCTAAGTTCAGTCAAAAGCATACAAAGTATTTAAGTCCTCGTAGGTGACTCTGGAAACAAAGTGAGAGATCATTAATAAGATTGCCCCACCTGAAACAAACAGTCTGCCTTAATTAGCAAAACCCCATCTGTCTGGAACAGAATGCACAAGGTCAGGAGTGTTTGGAAAGCTTAATTCTGGAGTACACCGAACATCAAGGCTGAACAAGATAATTGCAAAGGTGGGTGTTTGCCGGTGGAGTTAATTAAACATGTTACTGTCCGGCCCAAACAAAACTGGAGACTTTTATGACTGTTCATTTTTGAGGGGTTTTTTTTGTATGCGTTTGTATTTCAAGGCTGAACAAAACACGATCATGGCTGTGATTATAAAGGTTTTAGGCTAATATTTATAACTTGTGTCATGTCCTTTTACCTAGAAAGAAAAGTTCTGTGGAGTTTAACAGACTTCTCCCGAACAATTTTGCAAACTTTCTTCAGGTTTGCTGCACCCCATGTCCCGGTCCACTTGTCTTCTAATCCTTTTTTTTAAATAGAAACTGCTGTATGTTGGCTTCTTTCCTGTTTGGTCTTATCAAAGCTTTCAGTTCCCTCCACGAGCATCTTCTTCTTTTTCTGGTGAGAAACAGATCTGCAATGGTACCACAATGTTTGTGTTTGTGTGTGTGTTTGTGTGTGTGTGTGTGTGTGAGAGAGAGAGAGACAGAGAGAGAGAGATAAACAAAGAAAAATCAAGTCGAACAGCCGTTAACTACAGAAGAAATTCAAAAGTAGTTGAGATGTCAACGTGGCACAGAGAGAAAAAGAGAATAAAGGAATTGAAAAGTTGAAGGTTATTGGAGAGTCAAGATGAGGTAATAATAAAAACTATATAAAAAGCCTGTCTAAGAATGTGTGATAGTAATAAGAATGGTCTATCCTTTATATATATATATATATAAACAGATTAAATGTGCATACACAGGAGAATGAGAATGGTTGTTTACAAAAATAAATATTTTTTTTTTTATAAAAATACTTACCCTCAACTCCACTTCGAAAGAGATGGGCACCTTTTGCGGTCACCCTAGGCTTGTAGTAATAGCTGTAATCTTCAATACACAATCTACTCTGAAATGTTATTTAGAGAGACCTTCTCACAAATGTTATTTGTCAAAAGGTCTGCTGGTATATAGCTTCTTCTCCATTTGAGTCTCATGACCACCTGGTGAGGGAACTCCAGTGTGGCAGACTGAAAATTACTCCAAGAAAGAGTTCAGTATGGACTTCACATTAAGCGCCTTGTGAGAACACAAAACCCACTGGAAAAGACAATAACACTAGGAGAAGAGGAAGGCAACAGGAAAAGAGGATGGCCAAACAGAAGACAGGCTGGCTCAATAAAGGAAACCACAGTCTTGGGTTTACAAGAGCTGAGGAGCCTTGTCAAGAACAGGACCTTTTGTGGATCACTAAGTCATAGGATTGCCATAAGTTAGAACTGACTTACTGTCACAACAAGGACTTGCACATGGACAGTCCCAAAGGTCTGGCCCAGTACTCTCACCACGCTAGATGGGCTCTGTAGTCCAACTGAGAAGACACAGAGGAGATAAACATGGCAGAAACTACAGTGAACTTTGCACTTTCCCCTTGCCATGTTAGACACGGAATACAAATGAAATGAGTTCTTCATTTCATTCGGCCCTATGAATAAATTCTACTGATGACTCCTTTCTCTAGTATTGTAACATCTGCACAAGCCTATGGACTATATTTTGCAAAGCTTCCTCTGTTTGCCTTCGGTCATGATCCCCACGTGGCCCCTTGCTTGTTTCACCAAACTAGGAGCTCACGCAACGTGTCTTTCAGCTGCCACCAGTGGATTACATCCACATTGTTTAATATGAATAACAGAGTTCCAGGCAATGTGTCATTTTTAAAAGAACCCCCACATTGTTTAATATGAATAACAGAGATCCAGGCAATGTGTCATTTTTAAAAGAACCAAATAGAAATTGTTTATTGTTACAGATGTTGATGGGGTGAGCAATGTTATTAACTCTTAACAAGCGTCCTCCTTCATCCACCCTCAACCACCCCTCATGGCCCAAAACGCCAAAGCTTTTTCAATCTCTCTCCAACTACCAGTCTCTCCATCTGATTCCTGCCTATATCTTGTGACTCCGCCCCTCCAACACTCCCATTGGTCTATGCGGATAACATGAATATTCATGGCCTGGGCAGACACCACGCCCTTCATGAATAATGAGTTCCCAAACAACAGTTCATCACATGATGCTTACAACAGTGGGGGAATTAGATTCACATGTCTTGTAAAGAATCAGAGATGCAGAATACCTCCCAGCTAAGGAGACAAAGATAGTTTTTAATCAAGAATAATGCCTTATATGGTTTCTGAACAAATTGTAGGTCTCCTTTGCTTACAGTAGAACCGGGAGCATCTTCTACCACCTTTTAACTTCCAACTGAACTCTCATCTGTATTTATTATGTCTTCCCTAACCACCAGAGCAGTAAATACTGTCACCTGATGCACTTATGCCTTATATGTTTTACCCCAAGGAACCATTTCACACGGACATTACATCTGCTGAGAGTCCCAACCTGAATCTCACTCTAACTTTTGATAGATATTTAGAGCACATTGGGAGGTTTAAACACACGAAGGCATAGAAGGCAAGATGATAATGATCTTTTGAAAAGGAAGCCTTACTTCATATACCAGGTTTTAAGGGACGCGTCCCAACTCTTAGGCGAGAGAGAAAGAGAGAAGGAGGAAGAAGAGGAGCTGATTGCTTTCTGTTCCTATCTACAATACAGACATACATTCTCACTTGTCGCTTCCTCACCTGTGAGGAGGTGGAACTGGAAAATATGTTTGTTTTCCTTGCTCCTCCGGAGGGTGAGTTGTTTCGTGGGATTCTTAACAGCAGAAGAGTAAAAGAATGGATGTTGGATTTGTGCGAAGGGTAAATGATGTATAGCACACCAATGGTGCAAATAATATTTTAAGAAAAATAATGTAATTTGTGTAAAATCAGGAATGACCGCTCCGTTGCTGTGTGAATTTTTAAGATTTTTCAAGCAGGTGTCTTCTTTGCCTCGTTTGTAACAACTATTCTGCACTTGCGTGTTGCATGTGATTTGCATCTCAGAGAAGAAAGGGTAGACATTTTACATGGAGCAACTATTCTGCACTTGCGTTTTGCACGTGATTTGCATCTCAGAGAAGAAAGGGTAGACATTTTACGTGGAGACGGTTTGCATTCATTATGAAGGCCTTGATGGGAGACAGGAATCCTTGTCTTGCTCTGGTTTTGATAGAAAGAACTTAGAGATCTTGGACATTGCTTTCTAAGTTGTCCAGCTAGACTAAATCAATGAGATTGACCAGTACTCTTCTCATCCCTAAGAAGTAGGTAGAAGAGAGACAGGTGTGCTGAGCTTCTTCTATAGAAGCTGGGACACGTTATAGATCTTAGATCAGGGTTCAAATGACAAGTTATCCATCAAGATTACTGAACACTCATAGGCAGATCTCTTTCATCCCCAGTGACATTCTTATGACAATGATTATACAATAGGATCTCCTCATCCATGGGATCAGAATCCATTGATTCATTTACCCAAGGTGTGAAAATATTAAAAAATATTAAAAGAAAAATCCTAGAAATAGATGTTTCTAAAGTTGAAGTTACCAGACCTGGCCACTAGAGGTAGAGAGAGACCACACTATGTATAGTCTTCACTATTTTAAAAAAAAAACATTTGCTATAATCTGTCTTTTTCAGCATCCATGGGGGATTGAATGCAGGGATCCTGCTGTTTATCATTCCCAAAATTAAAGGGAATATACTTGTATAGATCAGTTGCTAGGGAACTGGGGGGCAGTTTTATTCATCTCCCATGGGGTGGGAGAATGAGTCTCTCCATATGGTTGCTGAGAAAATAGCATAAAAACTAAACAATTCATGTCAAAATGTTCTAAAATGCCTTTAAAAGCCCTTTAAAAAGGCAACTTTCAAAGTAACTACTAGGTGTTACTCATTACACCAAAGTAATTCAGGCGGCATTAAAAAGCAACTAAAAACAACTAACAACTAAAAGCAACTAAGTCCATTCTAGTTACATTACTTGGTGTTCAGAAGGAACCGGTTACAGGTAACTATTTTTCCATTTGCTAGTTATTTCCAAACTCTGGGTGGTGCGGGATGGAACTACAAGGAAGCAGTAACTATATATGTCGAGCAATTCAAAGACATTTGAAGACAATAGTCCCTATCTGTAAAACTCAGATAAATCTGCCTCAGGGTGGTACAGGTTGTAAATGAGAACATCATTGACTATGCATGTGTGAGAAAGAGATAGTTAAGTCATTCATTGTATTGGCCTTCTGGGAATTAAAAAAAAGGGGAAACAGCTAAAATGCTTTCTCTTTCAGCTGTATGTCATATTACCTTAATACAGCACACAATTTCCTTAATGGAAAAAGGATGTACTTAACTGCTTCATAGACAAAAATCAATTTAAATAGGAAAAAGATGGAAAAGTTAGAGCTTTCAAAACTTAATAAGGACATTTCTAAATATGATTATGATTTCAGTCTAGCTAATGGCAAAGCAGAACTGGCAAAGATAATGCTATGGGGAGGGGGTTAGATGAGCTCTAGATTACAAATTGAATGTAATTCCACCTAACAGAGACAAATTATAGTGCACAATCTCTCTAAATTTTTCAAAAACGAAAACAACCGCCGTCCCCCCCCCTTCTGGTGCTCTCAGGCAGATGCAGTTCAGGCTTCTTGATTTGGCTGAAGATGATGCACGGCTCTAATAGAAGCCACATTTAGAGAGAGAGATAACATAAGGGCACGGCTCTAGCTACATCCGTGCAAGAGTGAGGAAAGGAGAGAAGGAGGAAGTAAAGCTACCCTCGGAATACCAGTCTACCCATAAGGGACAGCAAGCTGCAGCAAGAGGAAAGTCATTCTTTGTTGTTATTACCGATGACCCTCAAGGTGTTAAGTGTGTGAAAGAACTGCTGGATAGCTCTGTGGTTTAGGTCTCTCTGGCTGTGGAGCCACAGGTCATGAGTTCGATTCCTCCTTGACAGATGAGAACACAATATCCACGTAGTCCTTTCCAGCTTTGCAGTTCAAAGGTTATTAAGATGACGTAATATTGACAAGGGTTTTTTTATGACCTTTCCCAGGATTTTCT